TAGGTTGCCCCCTTCCATGTAACATCCTTACCCGTCATCAACTGTTCAGCAGCTTGGCTGGCAGTCTGTCTTAGGTTGGTATGTCCATGAGGGAGTCTTACCCGTCTTTGACTACCGGTCCAGCATGGTTAACCATACAGTGGGAGACTTGCCCCTTTCAAGTGCAGCCATAGCCTGTACAAGCATTTGTTGTTGCATCTCTGTTCGCCGCCACATTTTACACATACACCAGATCATACAGACACATACAGTGATCAACAGAAAATCCCAGAAGGCCATCCCGCCCCAGTCTTTAAGGACTGAAAAAGTCTTCTGCAAGGTGTCAAGCCATTCTTGAGCTTTGGCGATCTGTACTCGGGTGTTATTGATGGCAACGATGGAGGCTCGTAGTTCAGAAAGTGTCCTGTCAAAATCTCTGCTCCAATTTCCTTGAAGCTTGGTCCCAAGCTCACAGGATAAATTTCCTGCTCGGGAAAAGTTAACAAACTCCACAGAGGTTATACACAAGCCAGTCATGTGCTGAATACAATCATAGAAAATCATTTGGCCCAATACATCAATTTGTTCTTGCAATAGGTCAACTCTCTGATTTACCATAAGAATGCCTGCTTTAAGCTGGGTGTTAACGTGTTCTTGAACTCCCAAGGCTACTGCCATGCTGGAAGACAGCTGGTTAAGAGTGTTAGCAGTAGTCACAGAAGTAGCCATAGCTGCAGCGGCCACCGCCGCGGACGCGGCCGAGACCGCGATGGCAGCTATGATCTCTGCAGTAATGCCAAAATCTCTTCTTGGTCTTAATAGCATGGTCAGGTCCTTTTCTAGAACTTTTACTGGCCATGGGACCATGGTGGGCATCCTAACCACAACAGCTATTGGAAAGTTGGTGGCATTCCAGCATTTAGTTAAGAAACAGGTGTCATTGGTACAAAACAAGGTTTCAGTATCATTATTAGAAGTATTGGAAACTAGGAAAAAGAAGGGTGGGACCACACATACAGGAGTAGGTGCAAGCGGTATAGGTGAGGGCTTGGAGCAATTTACTCTAGTATCACTTTCAAAAGTCCTGGTTATTACTGGAGAAGGCCCCTTCCATTCTCCTGTAAGGACATCCTTCCAAAGGACTGAAACTTAATAGCGGTCTGTGGCCGAGCGCCCCGAAGTATCCAAATTCAAAAATCTTCCTTATGGAGCCGATCGCCGACGATGGCCCACCACTTGCCGCAAGCCACGACTCTGTCCAGGAGAGCCGAGGAAAGATGACACAGACACCAAGGTGAGTTTCAGGCTTCTTCTTTATTACGCACTTCAGTCCTTATATAGTTTGTTCCCAACAGCCATCCTCCCAGCCAGGACCAATCAGGGCACACACACACACACACACACACACACACACACGCAGCAGGCAGGCAGAGTGGCAGCTCATTGGGCCACGTAGCAGGGTCATGCTTGATGATGTCTCTGATACGGCAGGCAGCACATGATCTGGCTCCTCGTGCTTGCCCGAGTTGGAGTAAACAAGCGAGGGTCACGAGGCTTGGCAGCCAGCCAAGGGTTGGAGTCACGAGGCTTGGCAGCCAGCCAAGGCGCCATCTTTGGCTGACTCGGCCGCGCTCGCTTCCCACACCTTATACCAGAAGCCATGACAGGGAGTGTGCTTTTCATTTTTAAAGCAATGCTTTACCTTATTGTCTATAAGGTGTCTCCCAATTCCAACTCCATCTCTGTTTTAAATAATTAACTATATAAAAGGCTTGTGTGGAAGATGGCGGTCTCCACAGGAGTTAAAGTTCCCCGCAATTTTCGCTTGTTGGAAGAACTTGAAGAAGGACAAAAAGGAGTAGGCGATGGTACGGTTAGCTGGGGCCTTGAAGATGATGAAGATATGACACTTACAAGGTGGACAGGCATGATTATTGGGCCACCAAGGACAAACTATGAAAACAGAATATATAGCCTGAAAGTAGAATGTGGACCTAAATACCCAGAAGCTCCTCCATCAGTTAGATTTGTAACAAAAATTAATATGAATGGAATAAATAATTCCAGTGGAATGGTAAGTTAAAAAT